ACTTGATTTATTTCAATTATTTATTTTGTGTCATTCCCTCCTTGTGCAATGTGTCGATGGCCGCCTTTTGGACAGATGTCAAATCTGAAGTCTTCCCCATGTTTGTGTCGGCTTCAGAACTGGACTGAGAGACCATTTAAAGCCCTTTGCAGGTGTTTTGAGTTAATCAGCTGATTAGTTTGTGGCACCAGGTGTCTTCAAAATTTAACCCTTACACAATATTCTAATTTTGTGACACACAGAATTTTGGATTTTCATTTGTTGCCACTTCAAATCATCAAAATAAATTAAATAAACATTTGAATGCATCAGTCTGTGTGCAATGAATAAATATAATGTACAAGCTACACCTTTTGAATGCAATTACTAAAAAAAAAAAGTTTTTCAAAAATATTCTAATTTACTGGCTTTTACCTGTATTATGACCTGAAAACAATGACTTTTAAAACATTGTCATGTGACTTTCAACCTTGGAAAGTGGACTGGAACACAGATGCTACTATAGTGTGTCGACTTTCATAAAAATATCTGATTAAACTCTACATAAGTTCTGATATGAGAAAAAGAGTTTTTTCTTCAGCAGGGAAAGGGGATGGTCAAATTTATCTGGGTAGCCTGTAAATTTCTGACTGTATTAGTCTCAAGGCTTCACCGGTGACGTCTGTTGGATCACAGTGTTTACAGTTAGCTTTAAAACAAACATTTGAATATTGTTCATAAATGCAGGCAGAGTTGATTTAGGTCCAAGTTTGAATAACAGCCTGATTTAACAGTCTTGTTCTGCTTTTTGTCTCCTAATGAGACTTTCTGTTAAAATCAGACTAATCTGTCGTCTTTGGGCAGAACAGGGTTCCCCCAGATTCCACATCCTCCATGTTTCCTCTGCTCTACTCTCGGATTAGCTACATTGCTGTGTTTATTAATAGGAATGGTTCCACATTCTTAGTGACTACTCTGAATATCCCAATCCATCCACTGGCCCGCTCTATGTCTTCTACCATCAAATAAAAAGATAACTCCAGTTTTCTGTTCTGCTCCAGTCCTCCTGGCTCTGGCAGGACTTGGAGAAAAGCTTAACTGCAGAAGTAGCAGGCTTTGATTTTCCACAGACTCAAGGAGGCAGCAAACAATTCTCAGCAACTAAACAAGGATGGAGGATGTGGAATCTAGGTGTTAGTGTTGCTTTAAAATATGCACTGACAAACATTATATTTACCGTAGATATTATTTATATGTTTTGAATCTACATAATGTATAGATAGAAAAACACCTTTATGAAGCTACCCTCCATCCAGCATTAACATTCTGTCTGATTTGAGTTTCTGCAGATGGCACATTTAAACAAATTATAATGGTCAATGTAGGAAGAAGAAACATCACCTCTTTCAGTCAAAAAATGTGATGGTAATGTAATTATGACTGAATTCTGAAATATTTATCCTTTTTTTGTTTCACTAAGGCAGAGTTTTGTTTCATTATATAAAAAATAAAACGAAATGTGTAACTTATCCTTATGGGTTTTACAAAAAAGTAAAAACTAAAAACATGTTAAACGAAAAACAAACAAAACAAAAACTGTGACAGCCCTGCTGTGCTGTCGGGTGAGCATATGTGTTAACTGCCTAAATTAACACTATCAATTAAGGTCCTCTAGGTGAAGGCGCTTCCATTATGCAGCCACCTGGTTGATATTTAAGGAGCGCCGTTCCATTTAGAGCGTTGGTGTTCCCTGCTTGAGAGGCGCGTCTCCTGGTTGAAGCAAGCACGCCGCAGACAGCTATCCAGTCCAGTCCGGACCAGGTTGGGGATCCGACTTCCTGGTGTGGAGGAACCAGGCGTGATCGCCCCATCCGGGCTGCCGTCTGATGCCGGCATTTAGTTCATTCTTTTGATTCTGCTAAATAAATGCCTTTTAAAGGCTTAAAGTCCCCCCAGTTTTTGTTGCGACCAGTCAAGCAGGGTCGTAACAAAAACAAATTACCTCTTCGCTTTTTAATCCCGATTCTTATTAGGGAATCCAGTAGGCGGGGTCAGAACCACCTTTTTTTTGCCCCCAATTCTTTTTAATTTTAATCTCAGTGCCTCCCACCACCAATTAAAACAGAAGAGGCCTCTTGAATGAGAAGAGAGAAGTCTTCTAGAAAACTACATGTCCAGTTGCCTAGACTGAACTCTTCAAGCTTCACTCATATCAAATCTGTTCCCTGCTTACATTAGAAGTATGTGTTGAATTAGCCTCCAGATAATTAAACATTCAGATGGCTATTATTAGAAAATATTAGCTTAGAAGTACCTTAGAGAAAACAGTTTAAATCGCAGTCATATTTTTGGCCTTCCTGTCTCTCTGTAGCTATAACAGCTATAACATTGTCATCTGCTCTGAACCCCTGACCCTAATAACTCACCTGAGCTGCAACTTGCCCCCCAATGTGTTTGTGTGCAAGAGCCATGAGGACAGAGACACTGGGGACATTTTTTTGTGGGGAAAAAAAGGAGGAGGTGCACCAAAAATAAGGCTTTCCTTCTCTCCGGTGCTAAATTAATTTTTAATTAATTATTTGTTTTGTTTGAGAAGTGGCTAACCTGTTTGGACTGAGGTGGGGGAGCTCCAGGACTGAAACTGCCTGGAGGCAGCAGTCAGTAAAGGGTAAAGTGATCGACCATATATTTTATTTTATTTTCCTTTTCCATAGACTTTAAACTATGAAAGAAAAGCTTCATAACTTTATCATTTAGATGCATTTCTGCATCTTGCAATGAAGAAAATGCTTGCTGACAGACTGAATTTCTTGACATGACTTTATCTATGGGAAAATGAAGGTGATAATGTACGGCCTGGTTGGCTTTCACTAAACAATGATTGTTTTAGAGTCAGTATAATATTTTCTGATCAAATTAGAATCAACCTTAAATATCTAAACCAAAAATTATCTTAAAAAAAAAAAACTCAGCAGCAGCAACTACCTTTTACATTTACTCTTGAAATAAATAAAACTAAACATGAGCTTCAGTTTTTCGTACCCACTTCTTGGTGCTGAATGTTTTTCATGTATCCTCAAATGTAGGAAAGTAACAGAGATGATTTGTTTTTTATTAAAACCTTAAACTTTTATTCTCGTTTACATTCAGTTCATATTTTACAGGAAAAATTGGTGTTGCCTCTACTTAATTTAAGATGACGGCCATAAATTAATGTCTGGGTTGGGCTGCTCTGCAGAATTTTGGGTGGAGCTTAAACTGCTCTGACCCCGCCCAACCAGCTTAAACCACACTTTGCCATTAACCTACGGCTGTATCCTTAAACTCAGATTTCTACCCTGGTGTCCTTTCAGTAGGTGTTCCAACTGATGGGTTTTAATATGTATCAGAGATAGATCAATACATTAGCCAGTCGATGTGTGCATCATTAGTGCATTCAGCAGCCGTGCCATGAGATCAGATGAAAGGAATGCATTCCTGCTCTCTTTATCTGCCATCCATTGTTGAGGTCTGCTTTAATTTGTTAGTGCATACTTCGTTTTTGTTTAAACTGAGACTTTTGTTAAATGTATTACCATTATGCAATTTTTTAGCATAAAAATGGATGAAGGAAATGCAATATCAGCTTGAAGAATATCCCCAAAAATATCACCAGAACATAATGGGATCTGATAGACTGACATCAAAATAATCTGTATCGGCATTGGCCTTAAAGAACCTGTATCAGTTGATTTCTAATGTGTAGTTTATTCTTATTCTCCAGAGTAGCCTTCACCCCAAATCCTCTGAGCGCTCAATCCACACTTTAAATTGCTTGTCCAGTGTCATCACCGGACATGCTCAGAGCAGCCAGAAAAAATATGATTACATCATGTTTGTCTGCATCTTAGTTGTATCCCCCTTTAGAATATGTACTATTATATACGATTATATACACTATATACCATAAAAGTCAAATGAAAGGCTAACATGAAGCTAAAAAAAAAAAGACTATATTTGTTTACTAATCCAAACCGAAAAAGTTAGCTGCCGGAATGAGCATAAGATCCCATTTTCAGGAGAGATCTGGCAAGTAATAAAAGTGATAAAAGACAAGTGATTTAAAAAGATTTAAAATAGGACTCAAACAATTAATCAGATTAATCGTGTTTAAAAATCATACCTAGATTAAAAAAGTAGACAAATTTTGCATTTAAGATTAAAAAAAAAATGTCTAAATAATGTCTGTCCATATGCTCTATCTAGAAATCCTCCAGTGGAACCTATTTGGCATTGAAAAAGCTTCCTGGATGGGAATCAAAATGTCTTCAAACTTGGAAAACAAGGTCCAATTGTTTTATTTTCTTTTTACATTTTTTAGAACTCAAGTGGAAAAGTTAGAGTTTTACCTGATTTAATTTCGTAAAAGGTTTTAAAAGAATCTTAGGCCATATCATTATTGATAAAAAAAAAACAAGTCCAATGGCCTAGACTGCAATTTTTCAAGCTTGACCTATTTTAATGAGTTTCCATTTATTTACTTATTTATTTATTTATTTATTTCAATTAACATGTAGTTGTTCTTTTTATTATCTGTGATAAACGGATGCATTTTGGTGTTGGTTGAATCTCTGCCTCTATTTTTAGATTTTATTTAATTCACATAAAATTTACACAATTTGTCTAAAGGGGAAAACCCAGATTTACAGAAGAAACATCTTAGTCAAAACCTATGATGGTCAAAAAATTGGTTACATACTGACAATGAAGACTATACGTTTTTCTATTCCTCTAAGCCAGAAATGTTTAGGTTAAAGTCCTAAAATGTTATGTAAATTTACCCAAATGTTGAATTTTCCTGATCCAAAAAGGGGAAAAAAGCTACGAAAAAAGCTCTAATCTGAGTAACAGATTTTGGATTTTAAAAATAAAATCAAGCTTTAACCCCTTATTTGGTAAAACGGTGGAATTACCTAACCACTAACCCCTTAAATTAGTTTAGTGAATAATTAGATTTCAGCACTAATTTAACAGATCTTATACAGTATTTTAGTAATTTACCTGCCGCCACATCGTGTAGAAATATTCCCAACAGAACCACGAAACCCAGCATCTTCTTCATGATTCCTGCCTCAGTGAAGCTTGTTTCTTTGCTGATCCAAACCTCTGTTCTGCTTTGCTCAGGAGTCTGGTGCTGGAATATTAGAAAGAAACGCGACCAACGTCAGCAATAACTTTGTGAACAACCAATGAGAATTAAGCTTTAATGCCAACGTCACCCGAAACCGGGTAATACAGAACCAGCGAGGTTACTAACGAAACTAAAAGTAAATTACTACACGGAGGGACAGAGGGGTTGGACTAAAATGCAGGTTTTTATTTGTATGTTTTTTTTTATTTTAGCTGTTTTTTTCTCTTTGTTTTTCTGCATTTTAATCTAAAATTAGAATTAAGAACTCATTATAAGCGAACCTAAGATATAAACGAGGTAGTTAGGCAGAATATCAGTGATGCTATTTACCTGAAACCGATTTTTTTAAATAAAATTGCCTGAGAAGAAATATAACACTGATGGTTGAAATTTTGCTTTCATTTTAATGCTTATTTTTGCGTTGTTTGTTTAAACTTATTGTGTTGTTGTTGTTGTTTTTTTGAAAGAAAGAATTCTGTGTAAAAAAATAAATAAAAAGAAAACAAAAATATAATCAGACAGTTACGTTGCTTTTTTTTAACAGTTAAATCTTTTTTGAACTTCTTAGAAAATAAGGTTTATCTCTCTAAAGATTGTGTGTTTGCTACAGAGCATCATAAGCAAAGTGAAGGCTCCCTCTACAGGCAGGAGATGGGATATATTCAAGTCTGAAATTTGATCTGAATCATTTTGTTTTTAGATTTCACCGGCTTGACTGAAATAAATGGACACCATTTGTTTTTAATCTGAATCAATTTACAATACTTGAATGGATCTAATATTCTTAGACTGTACGGCTTACATAAAGAATATAATTGGATTTATATCCCTATCTGTCCTTTTTTGTATAGCTGGCCTAAATTGATAAAGTAAATCTGATCAAGAAAGATGAAAAAACAAATCCACTCAGAAACTTATTAGTGATGTGCTACTTGCTAAAATGTAGCATTAACGTATTTGTACAATTTCCCTTACAAACAGTTAATGTAAAAATAACGTGTTTCCGAGTATTTTGCTGTAAAGTTACCAATAGAGTCAAACCTTTCACATTTCACATAAGATTATTTATTTAAATGTTTCCTTATCTATTAAAGTTCTGAAATATCTCTAAACAAATTCCTAACTAATGCTACATTTAAACCACTGAAAAAGATCTCCTGTTGACAAACAACTTAAAAAGAGAATATACTAAAAAAAATATACAAACTAACTACATTTCTTACGCATAATTACACTACTGTAACTACATTCATTTATACATTATATTTTATTTTGGTTAATCTATCAGCTTGGAGACTGCAGGCAGTCCTGCTGCTGAACAGTAACATAACATGTCATGTAAAAGCATTAAGTGTTTCTCAAGAAAAACTGTCTATTTGGATCAGTAAATGTCTCAGGTGGTCAGGGGTCCTTTTTAAATGGCATCAGATGTTTTTCAGTGTAACATGATGATTCACTGATCTAGTTGGCCTACCTAGTTCATTTTACCTCTAGAGCTTTCCCTAATGTTTATCTTACCTACCTATCTAACCTATGATCTGCCATCCAGGTTTCAGGTGTCCTAAGCTCAGAATAAATAAGACTAATGGCCTTAGTAATTCTGAGCTTTTAACTATATTTTTGAAGTATTCCTTTTACAAAGTGAACTGATCACACAACAATCAACAGGACAGGAGCAGGGTGTTATTTGAACTTGTTTTTTGAACTTGGTGAGCAGATAGCGGCATGTCCTTTCTATAAGAAATCACACAAACACATCCAGGATCTCTGTTGTACATTTTACAAATCTACAGAACCCAATCATATTTTCCTGCTGCATTTTAATGAATATCAAAGAGTAGTTACCTTTAGGTACAGTGGGGCAAAAAAGTATTTAGTCAGCCACCAATAGTGCATTTCTCCCACTTAAAAAGATGAGAGAGGCCGGTAATTTTCATCATAGATATACCTCAACTATGAGAGACAAAATGAG